CTGTCAGCCCAAGGTCTTAAAAGCTTTGGAGTAAAAATAAGACTTCAGTAGTTTTTAATAAATGGCAACAGATGATGCCTGCCTAATGGTGACTGGCATCATATTCCAAAGAATAAGTGCCACCACTGTGAAAGACCTAAAGCCTGTAATCTGTAGCCTTGCCCTAAGGACATTCAATCTGAGTTGGTCAGCCGACCTCAGTCCACGAGGAATTTGAGCTCCATTGATTTCAGTCTTGCCTACAAAGTAATAAAAAAAACCTCAGTAATGTCAAAGAAGCTTCCGAACCCCAACACATGAAGGATTAAAAATCCCATCTACAGTAGAAAAAAGTCCAGGGTTATGCTCATTAGAGCAAATAATATCAGATAAAAATTAGATTTTGCTTTTTTTTACATTCATTTGATGAGAGCGCCATTCAGACCTCAGTTCCGCTCACATTTCCTGCATTTTCTTCAGGCTGCATGAGTACAACATTTAGCCATGGCTCCTGCTTCAATTTATATTGACAAGATCGAAAAGGGGCAATTTTGTCTAAAACAAGGAGACAGGATGCATTGAATGTCTCCACCAGCTCTGTAGTAGAAAAGTGTTCAGGAATACAGACGTCACCAGACAGACACAGGTTATGAAACTCAGCGGCAAACAATTCAGCAGTAGAGGAATTCTAAATCCTTCTATCGTTAGTCTGGACACTGTTAAAAACAGGTACAAAAGGAAGTAAAACTTCTAACAAAATAGGACAATGATAAAGAAATGTATCATGAACCAATAAATTAGTCACAGATACATCTCGCATCAAAACTACATCCAAAAAAATGTCCATCAGAATGAGTCGGGCCAGAGACAAGCAGTTTTAGATGAAAATAATCCTAAATATTTAAAAATTCCCTCACCAGCGATTTATTAGGGCAGCAAAGGTGAATATTAAAATCGCCCATAATAATAAGTCTATCATATCTAGTAATGCAACAAGCCAAATAATCTGAAAGCCATCCAGAAAATCCTTGTATCTCGGCAGTCTGTAAGGCACCACACAGAGAAATGGCTTAACCCGACCAAGTCCTAAGAGGCTCAGTTCAAAACTTGCGAAGGTAGCTGGTAAGAAAACCTGGTTACAACAAGCTTCATCCTTAAAAACAACAGTCGTGCCACCCCACGATCCACTTGACGTGGGTCGCTAAAAAATGAGCATCCAGGTAGGACAAGTTCAGAAAACCCACTGGACTCACCAGTTCCAACCCACATCTCCGTCAAACAGAGAAAAGAAAGATTATGCTCACTGAAGAAGTCCTTTGAAATAAAAGTCTTATTGGAAAGGGGCCTGGCATTGAGAGAGGCAAACTTTATAGAAGTAGCATCAGAGCTATCCTTAATCCAGGGAATCCTCTTAGTAGGCCTTAGATTCAAATGTCGGATACCACGGCAAAATATCCGGGAACATCAAGGAAGAGATGGCTTGGAGAATTCCACCACTCCCGACACCGGAACCAGGCACAACCTTGGTGGATCCAAAAGTCTCTGAGAAACAGACGAGCGGCAACGCTCATCAAAATCCATTGCGCTCTTCTCAGTACTCAAGCAGGCCAACCTGAGCTTCACCCGCTAACCACTACACCCCGCTAACCACTACACGACCACTACACTCCGTACACCAATACACGACCTCTACACTCCGTACACCACTACACGACCACTACACTCCGTACACCACTACACGACCACTACACTCCGTACACCACTACACGACCACTACACTCCGTACACCACTACAAGAGCACTACACCCCGTACACCACTACACGACCACTACACTCCGTACACCACTACACGACCACTTCACTTCGTACACCACTACACGACCACTACACTCCGTACACCACTACAAAAGCACTACACCCCGTACACCACTACACGACCACTACACTCCGTACACCACTACACGACCACTACACTCCGTACACCACTACACGACCACTACACTCCGTACACCAATACACGACCACTACACTCCGTACACCACTACACGACCACTACACTCCGTACACCACTACACGACCACTACACTCCGTACACCACTACAAGAGCACTACACTCCGTACACCACTACACGACCACTACACTCCGTACACCACTACACGACCACTACACTCCGTACACCACTACACGACCACTACACTCCGTACACCACTACACCACCACTACACTCCGTACACCACTACACCACCACTACACTCCGTACACCACTACACGACCACTACACTCCGTACACCACTACACGACCACTTCACTCCGTACACCACTACACGACCACTACACTCCGTACACCACTACACGACCACTACATTCCGTACACCACTACAAGAGCACTACACCCAGTACATCACTAGCCTAGTGAACTAGACAAAATTCTTGCTTTGCAAAGTTTGGTCTAGTCATGCTCCATTGGAACCTCTGCAGCTCCTACCAGGACTCTGGCTAGCCAATCACAACTCTCTAGAGGGGTTTCAAACACATAAAGAGCTGTGATTGGTCCATAATGGTGGGCCAATCAGAGTGCTTTATCTGCTTAGTGACCAAATCACAGAGGTTTATCTGCTTAGTGGGCCAATCAGGGCACTCTATGTGCCTGATGGGTGGGATGATGCAACAGAGTGAAACAAGAGTATGTCACATTCATTGTCCAGTGGAATGCGGAGAAAGACAATGGTAGAACCCGACCCACAACCGAGAGCCGTCAATGGAGCGTGGCCAGACTAAATAATACATTTATTTAGCCTGGCTTGCCAGGCTAGTACATCACTACACGACCACTACACCCCGTACACCACTACACGACCACTACACCCCGTACACCACTACATGACCACTACACCCCGTACACCACTACAAGAGCACTACACCCCGTACACCACTACAAGAGCACTACACCCCGTACACCACTACAAGAGTACTACACCCCGTACACCACTACAAGACCACTACACCCCTTACACCACTCCACGACCACTACACCCCGTACACCACTACACGACCACTACACCCCGTACACCACTACACGACCACTACACCACGTACACCACTCCACAACCACTACACCCCTTACACCACTCCACGACCACTACACCCCGTACACCACTCCACGACCACTACACCCCGTACACCACTCCACGACCACTACACCCCGTACACCACTACACGACCACTTCACCCCGTACACTACTACAAGACCACTACACCCCGTACACCACTACACGACCACTTCACCCCGTACACCACTACAAGACCACTACACCCCATACACCACTACATGACCACTACACCTCTGCAGTGGTCACGAACTTTCCTATTGGGTGTAGTCAAACATAGGTAGGCCGGCACAAAGGAGAGAACAGATGAGTAGGAAGATTTCCAACCATGATGGTTTGATCCCATAGAATAAAAAAAAGAACATTGAAAATCCAGGAGCGTCTGACAATCGTACACTACTTAAGCATTAGAGCTACTCAAAAGTTAGGAGCGTACACATTAGCTAAAATAACTGTGTTCCCTTGAATTTCAAACAACATCAATATCATCCTCCCAGCATCATACCCAATCTTTCTGATACATTTAAATTGTAGGTGTTTACTAATCAAAGTGGCCACCCCTCTGCTTTGACTAGTGCCACTGGCTGCACCCACATAGCCCACCCAACCTACACATAGCTTCTGTGAGTCCCTACTACTACTAAACTTTATTTATATAGCGCCTTCACATGGCCCAAGGACCAAACAAAGCGCTGCACAGCAGAAATGAACATAAAAAATAAAAACATATAAAACCATTTAAAAACCAACAAAAACATGTAGATAAACTCTAGGTGGGGCAGCAAAAAGTGCAAAGCCATCCGTTAACGAGACTCTTCTTGGGCAAAAGCTAAAGAATAAAAGTGTGTTTTCAGCTGGCTCTTAAACTTGCCAAGCGTGGTGGCCTGTTTAACACATGTAGGTAGCTCATTCCAGAGCCTCGGCCCCAGCACCGAGAAAGCACGACCCCCTCGAGATTTCAGTCTGTGTTTGGGAACGACCAACAGTCCTTCCTGTGCTGACCGAAGGTTCCTTGCGGGAACATAAGGATGGATCAGATCCGATAGATAGCATGGAGCCAACTCATTTAAACATTTAAAAACAAACACCAGAACTTTAAACAAAATTCTAAAAGAGACTGGAAGCCAGTGTAGGGATGCCAAGACGGGTGTGATATGTTCAGATCTCCTGGTACCAGTCAGTAACCTGGCTGCTGCATTTTGGACCTTCTGTAGTTTCGCTATGGAGGCCTGCTTGATGCCTGCATAAAGCGAGTTACAGTAGTCCAGTCTGGTGGTAAAGAAGGCGTGGATGACAGTTTCCAGATGTTTACATGAAAGAAACGGCTTAATCCTAGCTATTCTCCTGAGATGGAAATAGCAGGATCCAATTGTTCCATTGACCTGGCTGTCCAGTGTGAGCTCACCATCCACCTTCACCCCCAGGTTGGTGACCACAGCCTTCTCAAAAGGAGTCCCGAGCAACAGATGAGTCTTTTGGACGAAGGCAATATCGCCTTTCTTAGATTTTATGAAAGACAATATTTTGCTTTCCTTAACAGGATTATTTAGGCTCTTGACATTCCAGCTCATAAAACTCAAATTGTTATCACTGATTGGTAATGTCCAACGTACACATGAAGCAGGGCATTTGGTAACCTGTGATGTGGATAAGTAAATTTGGCGTCCAAAAAAAAAAAAATCATATATTAAATATGTACATTTACTCGATTCTAAGGTTTTATGTTCTGTCCTTCATCGTAATCTCTATTTTTATGCTGTATGGATTATTTTGTTTTGGAAAGCTTCCTTGTTTGTAAAAAGTGCCATATAAATATATACTTGACTGATTGATGGTAATGGTGTGTTTAAGTATTGACTATGTGTGTGATACTGCTGATGATGTATGTAGTTTTTATGACGATATCTTGTAGGTCATGTTGGAGCAGATGCAAGGCCTGATGCACCTTGAGCTGTCGGGCTGCAATGACTTCACAGAAGCGGGCCTGTGGTCCAGTCTCAATGCTAGACTAACCTCTCTCAGCGTCAGTGACTGCATCAATGTGGCTGATGACGCCATAGCTGCTATCTCACAGCTCCTGCCAAACCTATCAGAGCTGAGCTTGCAAGCCTATCACGTCACTGACACAGCAATGGCCTACTTTACAGCCAAACAGGTATGATCCTCATCATCATCGTCTGAAGCGCCAAACCGCTGTTTGTCTTTCTAATTGTTGAACACCAAATTCTCTTTCAGGGCTACACCACCCACACTCTCCGGCTTCACTCTTGCTGGGAAATCACCAATCACGGAGTGGTAAACATGGTCCACAGCCTTCCCAACCTGACTGCCCTTAGCCTCTCGGGCTGCTCAAAGATCACCGATGATGGTGTTGAGCTGGTTGCAGAAAACCTTCGTAAGCTCCGCAGCCTGGATTTATCCTGGTGCCCTCGGATAACTGACATGGCCCTGGAGTACATCGCCTGTGATCTGCACAAACTGGAGGAGCTGGTGCTGGACAGGTTAGTGCTGACTGTTATTCCAGGCTCTGTTCTAGTAAATGATTTAAATTACATGTTATTTAATAAGCCATAAGACAAAAGATTCCATAGCAAATATGAAATCAACCTTATGGATCTGTGGGGTTATTTTAAACCAGAAAATTGGAACTTTTAATTGCAGAGATTAGATAACAGCTTCGTGTTCACTCAGAGACAACAGAAGAGAGAGAGTCAAGTTTATAAGTTAAGAAATTTATTACTAAACAAATTAAACTAGACTAACTTTAACACTAAATGTATGGTGTAATTAAGATGGATGAGACGGAGAATGGTGTGTTGTGGAATGTTGCTCAGAACCAACAAATCCGAAGAAACGATCAGTTCTGATGGGAATGAAGGTGATGTCTTCGCGTTAAGCTTCGGTTAGGAGATTCATAAACACATTCGACGCCATTTTGCCAGCCTACATGCCCTTAGCGGAAGTCCCCGTTAGATCAGGAATGTTGAGGTCCAGCTTGACCTTTTCTGGAACCGAGAAAAGCAGCAATTGTCGACCAGACCAGTCTTTGAGATACTTCCGGGTCACAACGGTTTTGTTGGCATCTAGTGAGACCCAAACCTGGGTTGTGATGGTTCAGCTTTTATTCTGAAAGGAACCGTTGCAACAGGTGGAACAGCACCAGATTTTACAACAGGGGCGATGGTGGCACAGGAGTTAAGTGCTCGCCCCGTAATCGGAAGGTTGCAGGTTCGAGCCCCGCTCAGTCTGTCGCTGTCGTTGTGTCCTTGGGCAAGACACTTGACCCACGTTGCCTGCTGGTGGTGGTCGGAGGAACCGGTGGCGCCAGTGCTCGGCAGCCTCGCCTCTGTCAGTGTGCCTCAGGGCAGCTGTGGCTACATTGTAGCTCATCCCCACCAGTGTGTGAATGTGTGTGTGAATGGTTGAATGACTGAATGTGTTGTAAAGCGCCTTGGGGGGTTCCAGGACTCTAGAAGGCGCTATATCAAATACAGGCCATTTACCATTTATCCAGCTTGTCGTTGGTTCTTTTGGCTGAAGAGGAAAGTTACGGATTGGCCACTCCGACAACTTCTCTAGAACGCTTTGACCTGGCGTAAGAGATGACGTGGGCATAGTTTTATACTTCGGATGTTTTGGTTTATGGTCGAATGAAAAGTTGACAGATTTACCAAACACCACCAAAACCACGCCTCCGTCAGATCTGGCAGATTCTGATTGGATCAGTAAAAGCAATGTGTCATGTCTTAACGTTATGTGAGATCAGTCCTAGTGGAAACATTTAAAAGTCATTTAACTTATTATATTCTATAGGATTATAATAAAGTAATTAGTACTTTGATTTCACAGATTGGTCACATCTTATTTATTGACTAACACTTTGTTTGATTAGCTTTATTAAAACAGAGTTCTTTGATTTATTAAAAGGAGAGAGTCCATTCTTCATTCTTCTCTTGGGCTGGAAAAGAAGCAGTTTAGAGCAAATGCATGAGACCTTGAGGCCATATCTCATGCAGACTAGTTCTGTGTCAGACGAGAGGGGGAAATGACTTTTGGTGGAAAACAGTCATTTCATTCCGTTACATAAATATTACAGGAATCTTCACTCAAGCAAGAAAACTAGAAGTCACCTGCTGACAAATGTTGTTGGTGTTGGTTGTGTGATAGAAATTGTAATCATACTCTTTTCTGTCACTTTTCCCAGCTTTAATCCAGAATAGACAGACCTGTTATGTAAACACAATTCTGAACTCACGTTCAAAAGCAAACGATCCCAGACTCGTGATGTTTAGGATTCTTGGGTCAGTTCTGTGCCATCAAATGGTAAGATTATACCAATGACTATGGAGACCAAAGGACAGTGCCATTTGGCTCAGATGGTTGAACAGTTTGGTTACTAGCACATTCAGTCAGGTGTTTGGTTATAGAGAAGAAGAAGAATTTTTTATATAGTGCCTCTCAAGATAAAAATCACAAAAAACAATAAAATGATTAATAAAAACATAAATTATTTATGAAATTTCTCATAAAAAGTCACAAATTTGAAACAATTTAAACTGAAAAATGAGAAGGAGGACAAAATATGAATAAGAAAAAGGTAATACAAAAATTGGTCAAAATAGGCAGCAGCAGCAAGCATCACACAAAGTTACAGAAAAATATAATTACCCAATGAAAACACAGGTATAAACAACACTAAATATTGTAAAATAGTTCAACTAAAATGGGAATCGATCAAAATGAAAGTTACCTGTTGCAGACTTGGCCTCAGCTTTCCTTCGTTTAGATTTAAAAACACTCAATAAATTCACTTATTTTTTCAGTCGGCCTGCAGCTCATTCCAAGCTGAGGGTGCTAAATGGACAACAGCTCTTTTGCCAAGTTCAGTGCATGTAAATGGAAGAGAAAGCAACAGGTTTTCTTGCAGACGAAGAGAATAGCCACCAGCATTTTTCATTTCCAGAAGGGAACACAAGTAGGAGGGCAGCAGTCCAAGTATTGCCATCCATCCATTTTCATCCGCTTATCCGGAGTCGGGTCGCAGGGGCAGTATCCTAAGGCGAGAGGCCCAGACTTCCCTCTCCCCAGTCACTTGGGCCAGCTCCTCCGGGGGAATCCCAAGGCGTTCCCTGGCCAGGTGAGAGACATAGTCCCTCCACCGTGTCCTGGGTCTACCCTTAGGTCTCCTCCCGGTTGGACGTGCCCAGAAAACCTCACCAGGGAGGCGTCCAGGAGGCATCCTGACCAGATGCCCGAGCCACCTCAACTGGCTCCTCTCTATGTGGAGGAGCAGCGGGTCTACTCCGAGCCCCTCCCGAATGACCGAGGTTCTCACCCTATCTCTAAGGGAGAGCCCAGCCACTCTTCGGAGAAAACTCATTTCGGCCGCTTGTATCCGTGATCTCGTTCTTTCGGTCACTACCCAAAGCTCATGACCATAGGTGAGGGCAGGAACGTAGATCGACCGGTAAATCGAGAGCTTCACCTTCTGACTCAGCTCTCTCTTCACCACGACAGACCGGTACAACGCCCGCATCACTGCAGATGCAGCACCAATCTGCCTATCGATCTCACGCTCCAGCAATGCGGAACACGCTCTGACACCGGTCATACAGGGACCTAACAGCCTGTATCAGAGGGCCAGGTACCCCATTCTCCCGGAGTACCCCCCACAGTCCCCCCTGAGGACCGTGGTCAAATGGCTTCTCCAAATCCACAAAACACATGTAGACTGGCTGGGCAAATTCCCACACACCCTCCAGGATCCCCCTAAGGGTATGGAGCTGGTCCAGTGTTCCACGGCCAGGACGAAAACCACATAGCTCCTCCTGAATCTGAGGTTCAACAATCCGATGGACCATCCTCTCCAGAACCCCTGATCAGACCTTACCAGGAAGGCTCATGAGTGTGATCCCCTGTAGTTGGAACACACCCTGCGGTCCCCCTTTTTAAATAAGGGGACCACCACCCTGGTCTGCCAGTCCAAGTGGGACTGCCCCTAATGTCCGTGCAATATTGCAGAGCCGCGTCAGCCAACACAGCCCCACAACATCCAGAGCCCTAAGGAACTCCGGGCGGATCTCATCCACATATAAATCTGTGTGAGTGAACCTTCCTCCTGCTGGTCAAAGCAGGCCATCCTACATGAGAGTATAACTCACAGAGGTAAATCAGTAAGGAATCTCAGAGCAGCATGGTGCAAAGTGTCAAGCGATCAAAGACATACAGCAGAAGCATTCAAATTAGAAATATCTCCATAATCCAGCACAGGTAAAACGTTGCAGCAACAAGTCGCTTCTTTGCATTAAAAGAGAAACACAACTTATTTTGAAAATAAAAGTGCAGTTTTAATGTCAGCTTCATCACAAGACTTTCTACATGAGGTTCGAATGTGAGCAATCATCAATCAAGAAACCCAAATATCTGTACGTGTGAACCAGCGCTATTTCTTCACCCTCAAGAGTGGTCGCACCCAGGCAACTTGGGCATCCTTGAAATGGAAAACATTAATTTTGTTTTATCTGCATGAAGAACAAGTTTGAGCTGAAATAATGAATGCTGGAAGACAACAAAGGCTTTCGTCACGGAATCAGTGGCTTGAGCAAGAGTTACCGCAGCCACAAATTACTGTGTCACCAGCATTAAAGTGCAGGTTTGCATCTGTAACGTTTAGATCTAGATTGTTATTGTAAATGATGAATAAAAGAGAGCCTAGCACAAAGCCCTGTGGGACCCCCTTGTGACTGTAGCAAATTCAGAACAACATCCATCTGATTTATACACTGAGACCTGTTACTGAGGTCATTTGAGAAGCATCCTGCTGCTCTCTCAGACAGTGCTGACTGGAGGAGTCTAAGTTTTAGAATACCACGATCAACAGTGTCAAATGCTTTAGACAAATCTATAAAAAGAGATCTACAGGGCAACAGTCAGTTACCACTTGCAGCAGTGGTAGTACTGTGTGTTTTGATGTTCAGATAAAATGCCATTGGTGTCTAAAACCTCCTTTAATTGCTCACTCATAAGAACTTTAGCCAGCGCAGATAAAATAGACATTGGCCTGTGGTTGGATTATACAGCTGGGTCTCCTCCTTTTAATAAAGAGACAACAAAAGCTGATTTCCACTCCGAGGGATCTAATATGATTGTGAGAGGCTCTATCACAAAATCAGCTGCAAGTTTCAAGAAATATGGATCTATTCAGGCGCGTTGCAAGATTTTCAAAAGTGTGGGGGATGTTGTCTGTGCCTAAAATAATTTGATGTTATTCATCTTGTTAGTTTAATTTCCATAATAGCGGAGCAGGTGCGAATTTTAGACGCGTCACACATGTCTCCGTTTTAAACATGTTTAAACTGTTCAGAATACAAATCCAGGCTCTGTCTAGTTGGATTGGTGTAACTAAAGTTGGTACTGAATGAAACTTTACATTAAACCATGTTGAAAAGAAAAAGATCCGATTAAATAGTTTCCCCCTCATTTTACAGTCAGTACAGCGCATTGCGCGTGGCTCTGGGGTTAATCAAGTTTAGTTGTTTCTCTTTGCAACAATCTTCACAAGAAGGCAAAACAGTTAAATGGCAGGTTACAGATATTTCCATTTGACTGTTTATTTTGACAGATAAACTCAAGGATGTTGGTTGTTTTGAAAGAATTACCCCGACGCACACTGATGCGCATGGATGAGCTGACATTTTAATTGTGGAGGTACAATAACTAAATTAATCCAGAAATGATTCCCATCAGAAAATCAGAGCTTTATACTGGACACTGTGTTCAGCGCGGCTCGGAGCGCCCACGGTGGACAGCGGGCTGAAGATCTGTAGAGGGGTTTGCAGCGCAGTGCAGAACCACGGCGCATGCGATAAGATTTCCTCCCACTGAAGCGCTCTGGAAAGCCGGTCTCTCTGAGGGATGTGTCACTTGGAAAAATTTTCTTTTTATGAAATTATGAAACTTTGGCTGAATAGCGCTTGTTCCCGTCTCTAATATGGAGACGCATGACGCATCCAGTCTAAGGCAGAACAGCCTCTTCAGCTCAGAAAGCACCTGTAGAGACATTTGATCACGCACAAAGTTCATGTGGAGCAGAAGCGGTCGGGCCACGGCAGGTGAAATGTTCCTAGCCTACATGAAGTGAAACTGTTTAATTGTAACATTAATATGTTACTGGACACGCTGGTCTGGTTGGTTAGACCAGTGTTTGATGTGGAAAACACACACACACACACACACACACACACACACACACACACACACACACACACACACACACACACACACACACACACACACACACACCAATTAACATAATGCTGATAGCGTGGACTAGCAGGTGATAGTTTATGTATTTAAATGATGATCAGGCTGCTGTAAAATGTAATCTCCATCCACATCCAGACAGAATTATCCTCTATTCTTTCTCTAGTTGCTCTGCTCTTGTCTGGGCTGACGGAGCTGATGGTGCGCGCGGCGCGCCTAACTAGCGGCTGATGCACATTTTACGCATTTGGAGAGGTGGGCTGGATGCTTTGCGTTTACTGGAAGATGGTCCACTTAACGCACGGGTGTAGACTACATATTAATGACAAATGAATGAAAATTAAATTGGGAGTTTTTACTTCATATTTTATACATAAAAATGACGGGGGAAAACATTTATGACGTCTTTTTAAACTAAATTTCCTAGCGCGACCTGCCTGCTTCACTAAGTCACTGCTTATTAAGGTCCGTCCAGAATTACCGTGGCCCACCCAAAAATGAAAACCTGGCGCCGCGCCTGTTATAAACCTCTGCAAATTGTTGTTCTTCACGTTATCAAACTCAGACTTTGTACAGCTAATGTCAAGATGTAAAATTATGAATTCAGTCGAGCTCTTCCGTCCCTCCCTCTCCTGCTCTCCTGGAAACCCGACATCGGCTGTCAGAAGAGGGAGGTGAATAAGGAGATGAGGCGAACCGAGTGAGTGCGACATAAAGAAACCAGACTGGTGTGGAGGTGAGCAAAACAGCTGGAAAAGTGTGGGTGTTGAATCCCCCACATCCCCCACGGGTGCGACGCCCATGGATCTATTAAATCAGGCCCTGAAGTTTCTATGTGGTCCAGTGCTTTAAGAGCTTTCTGCACCTCATGCTCAGAAAAAGGAACAATGTTAAATTGTTGGCCAGTGTGTGGTGGAAGGTCTGTGCAGAATTTCACAGAGACCAGACTCAGGGAGTCAAGCAAAGAGCCAGAAGGTATTGAATTAATTCACAATTTCAATTTGATCACCGACAGGAACAGAATCCTTAATCGTGTAGATGGGTGAGGCACCAGAGCTTTTATTCTCTGAAAAAGACTTAATGACTCTCCAAAACATTTGTGTGTTGTTTAGGTTCTTGGTAGTGACATACAAGTAGTCTGATTTAGCTTTCTTTATAAAAGAAGTGATTTTGTTTCTTAGATGTTTAAAAAGGAGCCAATCAGTAGCACAGCCTGTTTTCCTAGCTTTAGCCCAAGCCAGGTTACAGCCAGGCTACGCTCACAAATATGATCGGACAGCTGCGGTGAAAACCAGGGATTTTCACTGCCTATCCTAAATCTTCTTTACGGAGCGTGTTTATTCACAAATTACATAAAACCATTTGCTATTTCAACATCAGGGATCAATGCTATTTTCTTCCAGTCAAAGATTGACGAGTCTGTATAAAATACTAGTTCATTCAAATGATTAAGAATCCTTTTAAAAACAACACGATGTTTCAACTTGGGCTCCGTTGTGTTCCTAATAACAGCAACAACACATTGGTCACTTAAGCCATTGCAAAAGACACTCTGGGCTGAAAATGTATGAGGATTTGTCAGAATCAGGTTGATTAGGGCCGACTTTTCAGGGCTTTTGAGATTGGGCCAAGTGGGTTGATTATCTGGGTAAGCTTGATGGAGTCACAGAAAGATTTAAAATTCTCGGAAACCATTTTGAGCCAATCCCAGTTCAAGTTACCAGCTAACACAAGCTCACTGTAGTTCAATGTGGCTAGGAAATCCTTTAAAGTCTGCAGCGGGAGGTCAATAGCAACAAACGACTGTTGTACAAATACCCTTAGAGATGTTCACATCCAGAGACAGAAGTTCCGTTTGTTTACAGATTGATTCAGATAAAACTATTGTGGTGTCAGATTCTGATAAGTGACAACACCGCCTCCCTTCTGAAGCCTATCAGTATGATTTAGACAACCACGTTTCAGATATTATAACAATATCTGCATCCAACCCAAATCCTAACCACGTCCATCCTGGAGATCAAACTACGCACATTAAGATAAATAATCTTCAGCCCAGGCGAGGATCTGAATTCAGATGGGGTCTGGATACGCTGTAGCTCAGGGCCCAGGTTTGTTTCCACATCACCAGATAAGAGCAACAGAAAGATCCATAGCTTGAGAGAAAATCAGACAAAGTGAGAAGTACAGCAGCGACGATACAGTCTTGCAGGCTGAACACTCCTAGAAAAGCCAATGTCCCAAAGTTTCCCACAACCAAAAGCTAAACAAAGTTACAAATAAGCCATTCCCACATCACTAAGACTTGAAAATGCAGTATGTCTGCACGCTGCACACACAACATCAAAAGGCAGGAATGTCTTCAGCACAGCACAGGGCCAAGATGTTGAGCAGAATACTTCAGCAGCAGCACCACCTGGGATGAGGTTTAGAGGGCTTTAGTCAGTAGCTGGTGTGGCGCTGGCGACTCCAGCTAAGCAGCGCAAGCCTCGGTCTAGTTTAGATAGCTTCAGCTAGCAACACAAGCCTTGCTGCCGAGTGGAGGCTGTAATCCCCTCATCTTTCTTCAGAGCATCTTGGAGCTTATGCAGACTGACAGGATAAAAACTAAAGCAGCAAACCTTGTGATAATTCGCTGGAATGCTACCTTCTACACCTGGATGTGCCTGTGGCATCAGACTTGTTGCTGGAACATTGCAGCTTGTGAAGGGAAACGGGGGCATGTCTATTTTTCTCATTGAAACTATGGCCAATTCAAATTTTTTGTGTCTTTATTTTTAACCCGTTGAGTTTTGCTCTCTGGACAACAATGAAGAAGGGGAAGATAGCTCGGTAATGTTTCGGGTTTTCTTTCCTTTCAGGTGTGTGCGAGTCACTGACACAGGACTGGGTTACCTGTCCACCATGGCATCACTGAGGAGCCTTTACTTGCGCTGGTGCTGCCAGGTAACACATAACACATCAATAGGCATGTTTCCATCACCAGAACTCCAGGGTAGTTCCTGGGATGGGGAACTTGACCAGGAGATAGGAGATGTCCCAGTCCTCTCAGCTGTCATGTCTCCATTCAAATCCAGCCCCGTCAGAACTCGCACAGACGTCAGCACATCACGACTGCTTTGGTCGTGAGTGATGTCACTGATCAGCACCAATAAGCGGCCAAAGTAACAATAATAATAAAAACATTTATTTTATAGAAGTATATCATAATTTCATCCATTCAGAGGACAAGAGCAGCTCTGAGATTTGCGAGACAAGTTCCATTAATTAAGTGTGTGGGGGAATTCCTCCGAGTTTTCCGGTGTCGGGAGTTAGATTTAAAATGGATCGGTGCTTGTTTTCTTTTGCTTCCATTCTGCTTCACCAGCTCTTCTAATTTTACTGCTGCCGGTTGTTTTGGACGTCTGCTGATGTCATTTCCTACTGAGTCACAACCAATCAGCGTGAGTTAACCGGAGGCTCCTCTCAGCTACTCCACCGGACCGTTCGGAGTACCTACCACAGAGCAGGTGCTCGGAAGGTTCCTGAAAACGGCCGTTCGGATGGCCCGGTCAGGTGGAGACGCACGCGGGTGTGTCGGGAGGTTCCTGTAAATCTACCCTGAAGTTCTTGTAGTGGAAACACGCCTGATGAGCTTCATGAGGACTAAAACACAACAGCTGTAGGATAGCCTTTTACACAAAAACAAGTCAGTGCTTTTGATGAAGAAAGTAGAAAATTCTCATCACTACATGTAAGAAATCTGAGACGGACATGGATGTGAAGGAAGCATCAGGCACCACCTCAAAACTGTGATCATGTCAGAATGTTTCAGTCAACAGATTCTGTGTGTGCGTGTGTGTGTGTGTGTGTGTGCGTGTGTGTGTGTGTGCGTGCGTGTGTGTGTGTGTGTGTGTGTGTGTGTGTGTGTGTGTGTGTGTGTGTGTGTGTGCAATTACAGGTGCAAGATTTTGGACTGCAGCATTTGTTTGGGATGAGAAGTCTTCGTCTGTTGTCTCTCGCAGGTATGAGTCCTACTTCTATGTTAGTGTCGTCAGTGGAGAGTTGCGTGTTTGAAACCGAGCCCTGTGCATCATAGCTACGTGTATTCAGAACTCGCGGTAACTGGCTATTCAGCTGCTAAGTTCATTTGGTTTGGCCAGGCTGTTCATCAACAGCCTCGGTGACAAAGGGGCCGTTGTGATGGAGCTGAGGCAGCGTGCAGCCATCTAGAATGATGCAGGTTTCATGGATTACATTACTAAGTGGTCGTTGGACTAATGAGAAAAAACAATTGAGTGTTATTGCAGCATTGCCCCTGCTCTACTTGCTCCAGCTCATCCATGTGAGAGCTCTTTGTGACTTTGTACGTGTTTAACTCGCATGTGCACTACTGCGCTGGTGCTTATGAAACAATGCAATGGGACAAGAGTGAAGCTCTGACCAAAAACAAATAAGAAGCTGCACCTTTGCAGTGGGTTATCCAGGTAAAATCAATCCATGAAGTTTTTTTTGTCTTTGTGTAATTACATTCTGGTCAAATCAGGTAGAAGAACATGCTGAACTGTGTTTTTATGTAATGAGGTCCAAACTGGTGTTTCAAAGTTTAGACTCCAGATGTTAAGCTGCATGAGACAGGAATAACCAGGTTCCTGAGCTGCTAGAGCATACCTCTGTTATCCTTTAGATCAGACCGTAGGCTGAAGGGACGTGATGACGAATGCTAAGATGTTAAGCATGATGGATTCATTCCTCTGAGAGGAGACCTAGAACCCAGCCAGAACCAGGATAGCGTGTTTAGTGCAGAATGTAAGAGTTATCACCGCTGAGCATGTGACCAGATGACTAAAGTGAATCTCAGACTGCTAGTGGTCTTCAGGTGGTTCACAGCTGACTTTGGTCTTCCTGCTGTGCTCCCCCTCCCACACACACAGGGTGTCCTCTGCTGACCACCACTGGTCTTTCAGGCCTCATCCAGCTACAGGAGCTGGAGGAACTGGAGCTGACCAACTGTCCTGGAGCCACAGCTGAGCTCTTCAAATACTACTCCCAGCACCTGCCCCACTGCATGGTCATCGAATAGGGCAGCCCGGACCACCATACTCCAACCTTCCTCCTCTTAACCCTTCCTCACACCTTTCTTCATCTCCGCCAGGACACTGAACTGTTCCAACACTCATCGCCTGACCCCTCTCTTCCCTACACCCATCCGGACGGATTCACCCACAGTCAGACCGAGAGGCAGGAAGACAGGCGGAGGGACATGCCTGACCCAGAGAGAAGAAGGTGGAGTGATTGATGTGACGTCTTGTCTGACAGCAAGTTCCCTTTCCACAATCAACAGGGTTTGAATTCCCAGTGAGGGACTCTCTGAAGACTGCTGGATTTTTTTAAACTGAAGGGAGACGGTGCAGATCCAGATGCAGACTAGAAGGAAGAGGAAAGACTTGTTAAAGACCTGTTTTAGCTGTTGAGACTCACACATCGCAGTCCAACACGCCCACAAATGTAGAATATGTGGAGAATGATGTGACCGACCGACTTTCATCTTCTGTGTAATGTAACCGCAGTTCCACTCTTTTTTCTCAGAAGCTATCAAAGATTTAGTTTGATCAGATGAAGATGCGACACACCTGCTGAGGAAGCAGGACGGACCACTCCCATCTCGTTTCTCCCCTTCCAAGGTGTGTGTCATAGACCCAGTTTCCCATGTTTCTGTTTTATTAGAAATCAAAAGGAAAAAAGAATTGAAGAACAACTGTTTACATTGGCAACTTTGGCGAGTTTCCACGCTGTTTGATAATTGCTTCCGTTTGTGGCTTTTAATTTTTCTACACGTTTATTTTCCAGCTGGGAGGGCCGTTGCACACGGGGACATGAGGCGAGACTGTCAGCTCAGTGAGATGCAAAAAGCATTTAACCGGCTCCTTTGGGCTCAGACAACCATCCTGACACGATTCCATCACAGACAGAGCGCGTGTGGATAAACAGCGGGTGTTAGTGCAGATGGGTTTAAACCCAGCCAGGACATCCAACTTTAGACTTTTTAAATTCATCCATATTTTTATGACGGTAAAACAGTGTTTAGTGCATTTGAACTTGTGTGGCCATGATGCTTCTGAAGCACTATGATGAAGCCCGAGGCTGAGTGGTTCCAGTATTTATTGTTAAGGCAATTCCTCGTAACCATGACAACAAGTCCATTTAGGATCAACAACCATTTATTTCACTGTCAGAGCAAATAATATTTGAAATCTTATTAAAATGAGTTCATGTGAAATAAACCGATGTTCATTTCCATCTCTGAACTTGTTTATTATAATGAAATTTAGACTCCTGTGATCGGGGAACGCCTGGCTGGACGCTAGTACCCATCTACGGGGAAAAACCCCAAATCAGACACCGGCTTGGCCAGCGGTCTGCTGCTGCAGTGTCTGAAGGCTAACGGAGGTTGTGCCGTGGGTTTTGGTGTTAGGAGAAGCAGATGGGTCGCCGGTGAGCGTGTTGCCTTGTCGGTCCTCAGATGTGTGGCGGTGGGAGGAAGTGGACCAGAACCTGCCAGTATTAGGTTGTGCCAAATGCATCAACAGCAGCAACTCAACAGTGATTAAACAGACTGAATGCTGTACGGACAAAACGGACCCGCATGTTTCTACCTGGTCTGTGTTTATGCTTCATTAGAACTCATCATGGATGTTCAGAATTTCTTCAGTGTACAGAAGTTTGTTTGTTTATTTATTTATTTATTTATTTATTTATTTAAGTTATCTCACGTGCACACAGTTTATATATTGGAGAGAAATGTGTTGTTTTAGTTTGGGGGACAATGAGCTTCTTCATTCACTGTTTTTAATTTCTATCATTATTATCAATAATAATAATATCTTTTGTAATTGTATTATTTATGGTGTGACATTTCTGCCCCTCAGTCTAATGATCTACTAAACTCTTGGACACCAGTGATCATTCACATCATTACCAGTGACTTCAAGTTTTTGAATATTCATAAAACAACGAAGTATATTTTCCTCTGTGAACGTCCGTGTCAACTTTGTATTGCTGTTTAGCTCTTTTGGAAAAGAAGAGGACGCTCAGCAGTGATGTTGTATTTACTTTCATTGTGCTGAATTTTGCAGCAGTGTGATGTTCATAAAACCTATAACAACGTCTGACATCAACTTTTGTCATGGCTGAGCGATGTTTACACTAACCGTTTAAAAGGGGCAAAATTCCCCGAGGATTCTCTGGAAGCTCATTACTGACAAAACTACTGGACCTGAAACCTAAAAAAGATCTGAGCGCCAGGAGGGCCTGCTTCAGAAGACTTTTTGTTAAGGAAGTCCAAAACCCGGCAAAGCAAAACTCAAACATAAAAGTGGACCAGTAAGGTTCTGGTGCAGTTTCAGACCAGTAAGGTCCCTGTCTGGTTTTAGACCAGTCACATCCCAGTCGAGTTCAATACCAGTCCGGTCTTGATAATATCCAGTAACATCCACTCACTTTTGGTTATTCACAGGTTTTCGATTTATGAAAAAAATAAATAAATAAAATTAAAAGTTCCTCCTGAATTCATTGTCCCTATCTCACGTTCTACCCTAAACAACTGCTTGTGTTCTCTCTCTCTCTGTCGGTTTTTCTGTTTGTGATGAGCTTCCCGCAGATCCACGTATCCGTTTACATATCATGAGCTGTCATGTCTTACCTTCCTATGGCGCATCAGTCCTGCTCACATCTATCAGAGACTTTCTATACCTGTCTGCTGGTCCTCTCTCACCATTTTGTTATAACCCTTGTACAGCACAACTTTAAGTAAGCAGTAAAATAAATTCTGACAGTTTACTGATAATGTTGAAAACAACAGAATCTGTATGATTTTTGTCAGCTTGACTCACTTTGGCAGATGACCACCAGGGCGCTGAGTAGTTCAGTAAGGTTTGGATTTCCATTTGATGCGTTTGCTCATGAGTTAATTAGAATAAAATGCTCACATTAGAAACGTTTCAAAAAGCATCTATGTTTACCAGCTCAGGAGGAACTAAAATAAAAGGCTTAAAGGAGCAATATGTAAGAATTCTTTAGTGAAATAACGTCAATCATGTTAGAAATACATCAAATCCAATCTGTATAAAATTACTAGTGGAGTTCCACAAGGGTCAGTACTAGGCCCTAAACTATTTATTATTCATGTAAATGATATTGTCTCTACATCTAATATGTTAAAGTGTATGTTATTTGCAGATGACACAACTTTTTATTATTCAGGAGACAATATTGTGGCGAGCTCAGTCACGGAGGAGACAGAGGTTTCTTTGGGAGCACCCGTTTAATCTTACACTCCTCAGCACGGCCACAGCAACAACAACAAAAAAAGAGCGCGCTCTCACCGGAAAAACAGTCGCCGAGAGAGCGCGTCACCCGTCACCATAACAACATGACAACAAGCACATAACTGTAATAACAGAACAAACCCCAAACAGCCCTGGCCCGCTACAATATTTATTAAATGATAGAAGTGATACAAACAGAGTTGAAAAAAATCTAATTATGGTTTGATGGGAATAAGCTTTCATTGAACACAGATAAATCATATTTTATGATATTCAGTAATAGAAAGTTGAATATAAAAACATTAATAAAATTTAACAAAATCTGTATTAAAAGACTAAAGGAAGTAAATTTTTTGGGAGTCATCACTGATGAGGATTTATCTTGGAAACTACATATCAATAATATCAAAATTAAAATAACTAAATTAATCGCAGTATTACACAGAGTGAAATGGTCACTAGATGACAAATCCCTATATTTATTATACAATTCATTGATCGTACCGTATTTGAACTACTGTGTTGAAATTTGGGGAATAACATATAAAACCTACACACATTCAGTTTTTATCCTACAAAAAAAGCAATAAGAATTATAACAAGAAGCAATTACAGAGATCCATCCAACCAATTATTTATCAAATTAAAAACTTTAAAATTTTATGACCTAGTAGATTATAGTATTTAGAAATTTATGTATAAAGTCGACAAAAAGCAACTTCCAACAAATTTAATTACGAGATTTATGGAAAGAAAGAGTAGTTATGATTTGAAAGGCAATAAATTATACATGATACCAAAACATAGGATAAATATAAAGGAATATTGTGTATCAATATATGGAGTCAATATGTGGAATAAATTAAGTGCTGAACTCAGGAATACCAAAACAATACATACCTTCAATTAACATATCAAAAATGAAATGCTTAGCTTATATGATGCTATGAGATAGATCTATTTATGAAGTGGAGAGAACGAAAAGGGAAAACACACATTATATGTTCTACTTTGTTTCCTTTTAGTTATTTTTTTTGTGTTTTGTTTTGCATTGATTGTTTTCTCCTTTCAATAATATAAGAAGAAAAACATTTATTTCTGTGTGTGTGTGTGTGTGTGTGTGTATTTGTTTTTTCTCCATTTTTTGCCAAAGTTCAAACAGTAAACCAGGTCAGACATTTTTTTAACTATAATAACTTTGTTGTCATTTGTATTTATTTTGGTTAAGGGAAACATAATAACATAAGTTTTGCTTCTTTCTGTTCCTTTTTCTTTTTTTTATTTTTTATTTTTTGGCAAACCTGTTTTGTGTTTTGTTTTTATTTGTGAATAAATGAAAATAAATGTAAAAAAAATAGTTATAGTGAAACAGGTTTACTCCTCAGCCTGCTGAGGGGGCGCTCAGTTTTTCTAAATGGCCAAAGAGGAAAGTAGTTACTGTTTACAACCTGTGAAGTTGATGAGTCTGAGGCGAGCTAACGCGGCAGCACCGGCATTCATAATTCAACACTGGCAGGCAAAAAGCTCCAGAGTTGTTTAAAAAACCAAAGCCAGCAAACAGGAGCGACCCAGGAGTTATTTTTTGTACCCCTATGAAGCCACAGCATCTTTTTGTTTTTCTTTGGTGTCGGGTGAAGCAGGCTATAGGCTAACGTTAAGCTAACAATGTAACGCGAGTTAGAAGCAAATAGTCACTCAAGAAATCTCAAGCTACTTTTTAAAATGACCAACATCTTACAGTATATGACTCGGCTTTGCTCGTCACCTGTCTTTGAGCCTTTAATATGTGCTTGATGATATAACCAGGTACTTTGGGTACGCCAGGGAACAAAGATTTTATAGTAATTTGACACAGAGGGAAAAATATAGTTTATAAAATCCGTTTATTTCTATAGTTTTACTACTAATGATGTAGTCATCATCATAATCAAAACTTTATTCCAGAAACAATGAGGTCCATAGTAAGAACAGTATAAATAAAGGATAAAATGATTAAACCAGACACATATAAGAAATAAAAAGCATAAGGACAGAGCTAGTTGCACATGTACATGCAGCTCCTGCAGCGTTAACACAGACTGGACGAGAAACGAATTGAACTTTGTTGGACATTAGTCAGATCAGATGATAGCCTGTTAGCCTACACGTACATCTGTACATGAGATCACGAGGCACTGCAGCACAGCAGGGAACAACAGCCTGCATAAACCCCTGACTGGCTCTGCTCCAGCGAGGGACCTTCAACAGAAGTGGTACAGGACAAATGATTATAAATGGTGAGTCAAAGTGATATCAAATGAGACAATGAATAAACTCTGATCAAACATGACCTTATGTTATAAGAGCTTAATTAAGTGACTCAGAAAGATGTGATGTCTGGGTGTCTAAAATAAATCTGGTTTGTGGCGTACCAAAAGGCCACGTGTTTCAGGGCAACTCCTTCACACGGGTCAGTCTGACACCGTGGAGCCGATATGAAGAGATGATTCTTAACATCCTGCATACGTCATGAGCCTCAAGGCCGCAAGAAGCAGAACTTACCTTCTACTCTCTGAATAAAGTCTGTCTTCCCAGGCGTAAATACTTCAGATCTTCATAAAATCATATTTTGTTGAATGAACAAAAAGTTTAAATCCAAAGTGTGTGTTTAATGTGTCTTATGCTTTACATTACGGGTTCAAATGAACATTTTTCCTGTGATAATTCATTTCAGATCTTAAATTACACCAGATTAGTATTTGTTGAGTTAATGTTAATCTATATCCACACATTCCAACATTGTTATTATTGATGTTTTAACATTCACCTCACAGTAATGTGTAATAACACTTTCACTTCACACTAAGAGTTAACCTCTAAGTATCTGGGTGAGGGAGTGATTTTCTGAGGTCTTTGGTAACGCCCTTTAAACTTGTCAAATTCTGATTTGTCTAAATTTGTCAACAAACAGTTGATAAAAATGAGGATACCTCCTGAGCCCTCAGTTCTCCACCAGTTCAACTGGTTCGGCCGACTGGCGAGCTAGCATTTGGAACCGATCTCTTTCTGCTCAAAGCCTTGCGAGTGTATCAGATGCAAAATAGATTCGACAGCTCCCTGCCTTCACCTGGAGGGGCATCTCAGACCCAGAGGTCCACTCTACCGGCAGTGTCCAATACCGACCCCTTGTCTCCCTGGATCGCACGAGGACCTTCAACACAAAGGGTCCGTAGGTCTGCACACTGGCGTGGGATGGTTTCATGAATAATCTATAGCTTGTTAAACCACACAGTACAACCCAGACATCACAAGATCTCTCAGATACTTAATAAAGTTTGGCTACAAACATCTAGCTTATATTCCATCATTTCATTCATAATTTTTTGTCATTTACAATCACTAGTTTAATAAGATAGAATTAACTTCATTTTTATAACTATACTCTTGACTCTTGTCTGCATTAATATGAAGCGTGTGTTCCGTGAATAGTCCAAAGATCCTAAAGTAATATTAAATCAAATATTCAAAAACCAATCAGATTGACACTTCACATTTATATGGGTTTTCACATCTTATTGATCATTAAATAAATGTAGCTAATTCTCACTGCTACAGGTTGAATTTAATTTAGATTTAATTGGTTATCAAATTAATAATAAACCATCCAACGCCATCGTGAACAGCCTACGCTCCAGTGTAGTGGAAGTTCTCGGGTATCCGGTCGGCAAGCGAAGCCGTCTCGGCAAAGCGAGAGAGTGGACTTCTGATGTATCTGAAGGCCATATAAGCCCCTCAGGAAACGCAAGACTGGTCGAAAAGATACCTCCTAGGCGGCATATGGCGGCAAAGAACTGACCGATTCTGAAAAAGGATGATTCATATGCAGCTAAAATTATTCCACTGAAACATCTAGTTTGATTCCCCAAAGGATGGTAATTTAGCGTGAGCTGGAAGCTTTTGCAGCCAAAGCTTCCAGCTCATGCAATTCTTGCAAAGCTTTCAGCTTACGTTAAATGACCATCCGTTGGGGAACAAAACCGGATTTTTCTGTGGAATAATCTTAGTGGCATGTGAACCATCCCTTTTCAGAATCAACCGATTATTTGTTCAATCTACAAACAACTCATCAGCCATGAAACGGTCTGCCTCAGAAATTAGGGTCCATTTAAATTCCCAGCAGTAAAATACCAGATAGTTCTATGAGTAACTATGATGTAAGGAGACCTGTGGGGTTGGAGGGAACATTTACTTCTGGGCTCAACCATGGAGGGTGTCTGATGGCAGGAGGATCTCATCTCTTCTTTTATTTATTTGCGTTGTTTATACTTGGCTTCATCAGAAAGCGATCTCTGGCTTTCGCCGGAGCGGTTCGCAGCCGAGTGTGAAGCAGCTGAGAATCAGCTTCTCTAAATCTGAGACCATGGTCTTGAGTCAGAAAAGTGTAGAATGCCTTCTCCGGGTCAGGGATGAGGTCCTGGAAGTGGGATTTGTGTAACACATAATCAAGTGTCCCTTTATGCTATTATTAGATGTTAGCTCCGTTTGTTTCTCAAACGTGATTCACTAAACCAGCAGAATTCAGTTTGGTTCACACTGACATTTGGACTCACTACTGAACTCCTTTATCCACTAGGAGGCGCACTAGGCTAGCTTATAGCTGATAACAGGCATGGGCAGGGGTTGTCTGTGAAGAAGAAAAAAGAGAAAAGTGTGTTTTGTGCTTTTTTTGGCACTTTATTGAGGACTGGAAGCTTTGATTAGATATTTGATACAGTTGAACACGTTCTGTACAAAGTCAGTGTGAACGAGGAGTCCTTAAAAACAAATAACTATTCAATGAAACAATAACAATAATAATAACAATAACAAAGCATGTTTCAGATTCCTACCGCTAAAACGTTTATCTTCCTACAGTCAGTTTCAGCTAACATTACCTCAGGCAGGAACAAATCCTCACAGATGATGTTGAACCTCGGAGACAGGACAGACACAACGAGGACAGACACGCGTAGTGAGGACAGACAGATGCAGTGAGGACAGACAGGCATGGTGAGGACAGACAGATACAGTGGAGACAGACAGATGCAGTGAGGACAGACAGATGCAGTGAGGACAGACAGGCATGGTGAGGACAGACAGATGCAGTGGAGACAGACAGATGCAGTGAGGACAGACAGATGCAGTGAGGCCAGTCAGAGGCAGTGAGGACAGACAGGTGCAGTGAGGACAGACAGATGCAGTGGAGACAGACAGATGCAGTGAGGACAGACGCAACGAGGACAGACAGGTGCAGTGAGGACAGACAGAGGCAGTGGAGACAGACAGGTGCAGTGGAGACAGACAGATGCAGTGAGGACAGACAGGCATGGTGAGGACAGACAGATACAGTGAGGACAGACAGAGGCAGTGGAGACAGACAGATGCAGTGGAGACAGACAGATGCAGTGAGGACAGACGCAACGAGGACAGACAGGCGTGGTGAGGACAGATAGATGCAGTGAGGACAGACAGATACAGTGAGGACAGACAGGTGCAGTGAGGACAGACAGATGCAGTGAGGCCAGTCAGAGGCAGTGAGGACAGACAGATGCAGTGAGGACAGACAGAGGCAGTGGAGACAGACAGGTGCAGTGGAGACAGACAGATGCAGTGAGGACAGACAGGCATGGTGAGGACAGACAGATACAGTGAGGACAGACAGAGGCAGTGGAGACAGACAGATGCAGTGGAGACAGACAGATGCAGTGAGGACAGACGCAACGAGGACAGACAGGCGTGGTGAGGACAGATAGATGCAGTGAGGACAGACAGATACAGTGAGGACAGACAGGTGCAGTGGAGACAGACAGGTGCAGTGAGGACAGACGCAACAAGGACAGACAGGCGTGGTGAGGACAGACAGATGCAGTGAGGACAGACAGATACAGTGAGAACAGACAGGTGCAGTGAGGACAGACAGATACAGTGAGAACAGACAGGTGCAGTGAGGACAGACAGATACAGTGAGAACAGACAGGCATGGTGAGGACAGACAGATACAGTGAGGACAGACAGAGGCAGTGGAGACAGACAGATGCAGTGGAGACAGACAGATGCAGTGAGGACAGACGCAACGAGGACAGACAGGCGTGGTGAGGACAGATAGATGCAGTGAGGACAGACAGATACAGTGAGGACAGACAGGTGCAGTGAGGACAGACAGATACAGTGAGTACAGACAGGTGCAGTGAGGACAGATGCAACGAGGACAGACAGGCGTGGTGAGGACAGACAGTTGGCACATCAGCAGGTTTTAACTGTCGCTGTGACATCAGACAGGCTAAAAGGCCAACTTGTTCGTGGTCACATGACCCTTTCAGAGCAATAAACTCCAGCTTCAGCTACTTTCTTGTGCTGGCTGCACCCACGTGTGTGCACTACCATTCTTCAGTAAGTCACATTCATTCACTAATTTGCAAAACATTTCTTGTATCTTTTGTTAAAACTTACTGAGAATCATCAGAAAGAACACATTTAGGGACAACAGCAGTTTGCCTCAGAGTCCCTCAGCGGCTGGAGGACCATTGGGCTTCCTCAGGTGTGTTGGTGGAGGTTCAGAGCAGGCTCTCTGTTCCACATGTGTCAGTCCCGTTCTCCAGGGGCCAGGTGGACAGAACTAGCTCGCTGAAGTTCATGTTGCTCTCGTTGAGACGGCGTACGCGGTAGGCCTCATAGTGGATGTCGTGTGCCACGTCCTTCAGGTCTTGCAGGTGAGACCTTTGGAAAACAGAAAATACTCACAGAAAAGAATTCAGTGGCACTAAACGTCTAACCTCTCACTCACAGCAAACACAAATGGGATGCTACATTCTACTAGTTTTACTCCGTGCTACATCTGTGTGAAACGAAGACGTCACATTAGATGGAACAGGTCTGAAATGGTCTATCAGTAAAGACCTTCTCTGTGCTTTAGCACTAATTGATAGGAGGTTACACAGTGCTGTGATCCTAGGGCAGATGGTGCGGTCACAGAACGTTTCTCTTCATGTCTTCACTTCTCTCTGAAGAATTCTGCAGCCCTCATTTATGAAAGTTGGAGCTTTCACTCGGAATTCTTACCAACAGCTTCTTTAATCAGATGTGGGCGGAATGTTCAAAAATACTATATGTATGCGTACCCAAAGGTCAAGTATTTCATCAAAATGAACAGAAATTTACTTTTTTATTTGCAGACACAAACATCCCATCAGTCTGGCCTCCAAACAAGAAGCACTACACAAGGCCTTGTCACCGGATAAAGGAGGCATAATCATTCCTAGCTACCTCATCTTGGCTGGAACAAAAGTCATGCAGCAGACCAGACTTTCACGCTGAATAAACTTCATCTTCCTTGAATCATACATAATTTTACAACTTTATAGGTTGATATAATCAAATGTGTTGGATGAACAAGATGTTCAAATCCCAAAGCGTGTGAATAATCTGTGCATTAATGATGTGTTAAATGAATATTTTTCCTGAAATGATTCATCTCAGATCTTAAACTACACAAGATCAGTGTTTGTTGATTTAACAAGTTCATCTGTCAGTATACTCATACATCATTCGATTAATATTAAGGTTAACATTCACTTCCCACTAAGAGTTAACCTCTTAATATCTGAGTGAAGGAGTGACTTTCTGAGGTCTTTAATGCCCCCTTAAAGAGCAAATAGCAGGTAATTTTTTTTCTAATTCACATAAAATGCTGTTCAAAAATACTATTTGAAAGGCTTATTGTGGATATTTGGTTTAAAACACACAACAGCAGAGTTTTCTAGTAAAAAGTTCCTTTCTCTTGTTTCTAAACCTGAACCTCTGACGTAACCAAAGCGAGTTAGAAGCTCGGCGCTGCCTCAGCTCAGAGTGGAGAGTGGCTAGTTTTAGGGTAAAGAGGTCATGTGATCCAGTCAGTGTGTGTTTACTAGGGTTGGGTTGTGTTCATGTTGATAAACTAGAGTGTGTGAAGGCTGCACCAACTCCAGCCTGTCTGGACATCGAGTCCACGGGTTTCCAGATAAGAGAAACAACGCCTGTATCTCCGTGCCTGAGGGTGTTTCTGCAGCTGAAAAGACGGACTTCTGTAGCCCACATCGGTCGGTACCGGGTCAGGGAGGTCCGCGCTGGGCTCCAGAGACCCGTGGTGGGGTTTAAAATTTAAATGCGAATTTCTGGAGCTCAGATCACCATCAGAACTAGGTCAGAACCGACCACAAGATGAGACGCACTTCTAGGGATGGGTACCGAATTCGGTACTTTTTAAGGTACCAACCGAATTCCAAAGTACCGACCGAGCACCGATTCACTTCATTTCAAACAGTGCCTCGTTTCGGTACCTTCATAACGAGAACTTGCCAAGACAGCTGCGCATGCACAAGAGCGTTATGTCGTCGCTCGCTGCGAGCGAGTTGTAAACAGAGCAGCATGGTAGAAAGAACGAAAGCTAAAGCTTGGGTCCACTTCACTAAATGTGATGGGTAACTGGGTGATGATGAAACCAGCGACAATGATCAAAGTGAGACATCCTCATCTTAATCTGCTCCGGTAGGTAAATAAAATGTTTAAGACAACGTTAGCTTGATATGTTAGCTTCCGTTTCACTAATGGTGCGTTTGCTTTCTCCTCGGAACTCCGAATTTCCGACTAGAAGAACATGAACGCGCTCTAAAGTTTGGCTTCACTTTACTAAATGTGACGGGTGATTGGGTGAAGATGAAACCAGTGACAACGATTTAAGTGTGAGGCATCATCGTTTTAATCTGCTCCAGCAGTTAAATAAACTGTTTAAGATAACGTTAGCTTGATATGTTAGCTTTCATTGCCACCGTTGTTATCAGCTAATGGTGCGTTCGCTTTCTCCTCGGAAATTCTAACTTCCCAGTAGAAAAAATCAAATGAAAAAAGATGGCAAAAGGAATGAAGATACACAGTAAATTTAGTTCACAGTAAAGATGTTTGCTTCAGTTTAATTATCAGCTTATAAAACTACAAGGACGATGTTAAAATACAAACAGTTGAATATTATTTATCGTGATATTTATCAAATATTGTTATATATTGAGAAAAACATATATTTAATTATAAAAGAGAATTAAAATAATAAACACTCAAAAGTATCGAAAATTGGTACAGTTAAGTACCGGTATCGATTCCTAGGTACCGGGAATTAGTACCGGATCGATTCAAATGTCAAAGGTACCCATCCCTATGCACTGCTCACTGGGCCAGTAGAGCTGGTTTCTGGGTCGGAACCAGATCAGAACCACCACCTAGACCACCAGGAGAGGATGTGTGGCTTTTAAATACTAGTGAGGCAGTCGGGCTGGTTTCTGGGTCAACTCCAGCTCAATCACAGGTGTCTCTCTCTCAGCTCAGGTGGCCTGTCGAGCTGGTGTCTGGGTCGGAACCAAATCAGAATCCTCTCAGACCACCAGGAGAGGATCATGCACAGCTTTTAAAACTACCAGCTCGACTGGCTCGCTGGTGTCCGGGTCGGATTCAGTTCACAGAAACCTGCATGAGCTCCAGAATCGGATCACGAGCGTCTCTCTTATTCTCTCTTAACTTATATTAACGAGTATGAGACAGCTGACAGACGCTCATTAGTTTATTATTGTCAAGTATTAATATTATATTAACTGACCGATACTATTTTAGTTGTCTGGATAGTAATCTATACAGTATTGTGATGTTAGCACACAAGTTTAAGCTAGTATTGTTAACTGCAGTTGTAAGTGTAATATTTGATAGTGTAGTGTAGTTTCTGATAGTGTAGTGTAGTATTTGATAGTGTAGTGTAGTTTTTGATAGTGTAGTGTAGTTTTTGATAGTGTAGTGTAGTATTTGATAGTGTAGTGTAGTTTTTGATAGTGTAGTGTAGTATTTGATAGTGTAGTGTAGTTTTTGATAGTGTAGTATTTGATAGTGTAGTGTAGTTTTTAATAGTGCAGTGTAGTATTTGATAGTGTTGTGTAGTATTTGATAGTGTAGTGTAGTATTTGATAGTGTAGTGTGGTTTTTGATAGTGTAGTGTAGTTTTTGATAGTGTAGTGTGGTATTTGATAGTGTAGTGTAGTAATTGATAGTGTAGTGTAGTTTTTGATAGTGTTGTGTAGTATTTGATAGTGTAGTGTAGTTTTTGATAGTGTAGTGTATTTGATAGTGTAGTGTAGTATTTGATAGTGTAGTGTAGTATTTGATAGTGTAGTGTAGTTTTTGATAGTGTAGTGTATTTGATAGTGTAGTGTAGTATTTGATAGTGTAGTGTAGTTTTTGATAGTGTAGTGTATTTGATAGTGTAGTGTAGTTTTTGATAGTGTAGTGTATTTGATAGTGTGGTATTTGATAGTGTAGTATTTGATATTGTGTAGTTTTTGATAGTGTAGTGTAGTATTTGATAGTGTAGTGTAGTAATTGAAAGTGTAGTTTAGTATTTGATAGTGTAGTGTTGTATTTGATGGGTGTTTTCCTGAGAAAGCTTGTTTGTGCTGCCGCGGCCCAGACATGAGGTACTTGACGGTTCGTGGATCTTGGTTCAGAACACAAGCTAAAATTCTTTTACCTGCTGCTGTCAGACTCACCTGATGAGCAGATCTCTAAGGTTGGCGAACTCGCAGTGTGCTAGGTTTTCAACTGTTGAAAAAGAAATATCATTTGAATTTGGCTCTAATCGTGACCTACTGCATCAAGTACTTCATGAATGTTAATGAAAACTGAGACTTCTTATTACTAAGCATTATGAGGACTGTAGCTAGCATTTAGAAAATAACACACAATGTTGAAACACAATGAGCCCAGTTGTAAAATTCATACTTGAGTCAGAAACTGAGTTCTGATAGGGGCTGCTGTCCTAGTCGGTGCAGTTCACCAGGCCAAAGGTTACATCACAATGGTTTTACCTTCGCCACTTTAATTGACAACCAAACAATAAAACCAGATGTGAAAGGGAACACTCACCTTCGATGATTCCCCATTTAGTTTTACGGCCCAGAACTTTGTTTCCATTCACCTGGTGCTCCTTGTCAGTTCCCACCACAGCAAAAGGAAGGCTTTCCTGCTGGTCCAAAACCACAAATACTTATTTCATTTGTACCTTTGAGTTTTGCTATTTGTTTAATATAAGCTGTAAATACATATCTCCATGGCAACAACGGCGGTATGAAATAGTTGCTTTCAGTTACATGTTTGTGGGGCTTTAATGTTAATGACACCTCCCCAATAACAGCTGGTCGATGGACCAAATTTGACTACTGGTTTCTGGTAAAGCAGAACCCATAAAACCTCTGACGTGGACATCATACCCTGATCCTGTCATTGAGGACACGTTCTTCTGTGTCTTCATCGTATTCTCTCTGGGGGTAAATATGAATGCCATTGGCTGCCAGGTCTTGTTTTATCTGCAAAAAGATCAAAATTCAAGTGAGTTTGTGACTGTGCCTCACAAGATCAGAAGAACACTTTTATGTACAGTAAAGCTGGAAACAGTTCATTGAACCTCTACATATCATATGTAAGGGCTCACGATTACCCAGGAGTCCTCATACAGGGCCCAACTCTACCTCGTAAATTAGGCCTGCAAACAGGGTTCGAATTACGGGGGAGCTAAGGGGAGCCTGGCTCCACAAAGCTGTCTAGGGCTATAAATTCAGTTGTGTGTGTGTGTGTGTGTGTGGGGGGGGGGGGGGGGGGGGGGGGGGGGGGGGCTGGTGTTATGGTCACCAGCCTGGTCTCTGGTGATCAGGGAGCCAGGATCACGCCACCCCGGTGATCTGCCAGACACCGCCCCTCTTCCTCCTCTCCTCCAGGCTGCTGATGAGCACAGCTGAGCTGAATCCCTGTAACGACCCACACCTGGCATAAAAGGCTGTGCCATCCAGCAGTCTGGGAGGCAGTAGTGCAGAGGTTCTGCTGTCCTCCAGGCCTCAGGGTTTGGTTTCAACACCTTAGTTGTGATGAGTTTTAACCGGAATGTTAACGCTCTTAGATGATCCAGAGGGATCTTTTGATGTTGTTTTAAAGGTTAACTTGGTTTGATGCAATTTAATTGACTTTGGTTTTAACCCTCCCACTGTCCTAATGGGTGACCCCGCAAGGAAGGTTGACCATTGAGCAGGGTTGATGGTTTATCCCTTGAGGTCCACGTGGCAGGGGTGAGGTGGTGCTCACTCCTCACCCATGAGGACAGTGGGAGGGTTAACCCTCAGTTAACACCTTCAGTTTTGGTAAAACCTTTAACAAAGTTTTAACCAGGTGTTTTAATGTTAACCTTTTTGTCACATTTTCATTTGGCATTATTTTTATAATGCCCTCCACCTGTTTGCTCACTTGTTTTTAGAACCTTTTATGACAATGAAACCCATTTTAAACCCACAATCATGTTTCTTATGTTACCCCCTCCTTCACATTTTAACACCTCCTGTCGGGGACGTAACAGCTGGCCAGCAGGTTGTGTAGCCTGTTAGCAGTAGCTCGGCCCGTCAACAGTAGAGGCTAGCATTGTTCTGTGGTTAGCAGTACAACAACTCATATTTTGAGTTTTGAAGTGGGTTGGGCCAAGGGGCAATCAGTGAAGCAAACACGAAAATATCAAAAATTCCAGGTCGTCCCTGAACGATTGCATTTTGGTTAAAAAAACATTTTAGGCTGCACAGATCTAATTAAAATGTGAAATTGTGAAATATTAGGGGCATGCCTTTTTGATCGACAGCCATTAGCATTAGCTGCTCACTCCAGGGAAGGCCTCAGTCTCTGTGTCACGATAAGTTTAACAGCCTAGAAGGCAGAGCGTAGCAGAGTGGCTCACCCATACCTCCGGTAGCTTAGGTTAACTTGTAGCTACATCAGAAATGACTTTATTTCCACATGTCTTTAGTGCAGTGGGAACAGACAGAAAAATTTTACACTCACTAGCCACTTTATTGGATACACCTTGTATCCTAGTTGGGTTGTACCGGGTACCTAGTACCGGGTTGGACCCCTTTTTGCCTTCAGAACTGCCTTAATCCTTGTGGCATAGATTCAACAAGGTACTGGAAACACTCCTCAGAGATACTGGTCCATGTTGACATGATGGCATCACACAGTTGCTGCAGATTTGTCGGCAAGATCTGGTGACTGCTGAGGCTGTCTGAGTACAGTGAACTCACTGTCATGTTCAAGAAACCAGTCTGGGATGATTCGAGCTTTATGACATGGTGCATTATCCTGCTGGAAGTAGCCATCAGAAGATGGGAACACTGTGGTCATAAAGGGATGGACATGGTCAGTAACACTACGCAGGTGGGTTGTGGTGTTGCAACGATGATCAGTAAGTATTAAGGGGCCCAAAGTGTGCCAAGAAAATGTCGCCCACACCATTACACCACCACCAGCCTGAACAAATGCCAAATTCTGATCCTACCATCCAAATGTTGCAGCAGAAATCGAGACTCATCAGAGCAGGCAACATTTTTCTAATCTTCTATTGTTTAATTGTGGTGAGCCTGTGTGAATTTTAGCCTCAGTTTCCTGTTCTTAGCTAACAGGAGTGGCAACCGGTGACGTCTTCTGCTGCTGTAGCCCATCTGCCTCAAGGTTCAACGTGTTGTTTGTTCAGAGATGCTCTTCTGTTTACCTTGGTTGTAACGAGTGGTTATCTGAGTTTTGGGCTCGACACACGGGAGGCGACATCGCCTCTCCTCCATTCATTTTCAATGAGACATGCACGACAAAGCGATAAACGCGGGTCTCCCTCCTACCAGGCGAAACGTGAAAAATGTGCGTGTGAAATTTAGCGCTCGTGTGCATGTCGTGCACAGGCGACCCAGCGACGCGATCCCAGAAAGTTGAAACATTTTCAACTTTTCATCGCTGTCGCCCGGACGAGGACCAATCAACGGAGGTTTCATTCACTGACCAATGAGCGGACAGGATGCTCCGTACATCTCCGAGCAAACATGAAGGAGAAGTTGATTATTATTATGTTTTATAGTAAAATCAGAAGTAAGATTTCACATAACTCTAGCAGCACCTTGTGAAACATCATATCTACCGCTTTATTAACTCTGAACCGCTTAAATAACCTTAATTCCCTCCAACCTGACACAGCCAAACAAAACAACGGAAGTTTCCATTTCGCCATGGAACAGAACGCGTAGACGGCTTTGCCGCTGGACGCTGATCGCCTCCTGTGTGTCAGGTAATAAAAGCGACAGCGACAAATTTTGCTGATCGCGGTTGTTTGTCGCCTCCCGTGTGTCGAGCCCATTACTGTTGCTTTTCTGTCAGCTTGAACCAGTCTGACCATTCTCCTCTGACCTCTGGCATCAACAAGACATTTTCACCCACAGAACTGCCGCTCACTGAATGTTTTCCCTTTTTGGGACCATTCTCTGTGAACCCTAGAGATGGTTGTGGGTGACAATCCCAGAAGATCAGCAGAGAAAACTAGTTCATTTAGCTCTTTTTAGACTTTCTAATGCCATACACACCAATTTGATTGATTGAGTTAGAGGTTGAATCATGAGTTGGGACAACAGTGGCAGAAGAGGTCAGTGCACGTCTCGTAATTGGAGGGTTGCAGGACCATGTCCTGCTCAGTCTGTCACAGTTGTTGTGTCCTTGGGGAAGACACCGAACAGACGTAGCTTGCTAGTAGTGGTCAGAGGGACTGTGGCTTTGATGAGCTAAAGAGGGTCTCTGAGAAAACATGACACAGACTCGCAGGTCTTCATTCCAGAGATGGGACTGAGAGGTCAACAATTAAGTTCCAACAAACCAAAAAAATGTTACCACTGTCCATGCACCTTCTACCTGTTACTTTAGAACAGAAACAAAGCTACTCATCAAACTACATATAAATCATAAAAAGATCAGTGCAATCAGACTGGTCACACACAGAGGCAATGTGTACACGTTTTGCCTTACTCTTTCTTTGAACTCCTGTCTTTCATCAACAGTGAGTGTGTCAGCTTTGGCGATGACAGGTACAATGCTCACAACCTTCCCCAACCTCTTCATGAACTCTACATCAAGAGGACGTAACCTGGAAACACAGCAAGTTCTGGGTAAGGGAAAGAAACAGAATCTGCCCTGAAGTCTGAAGATTTTTGTTGATAAAATATCATCCATCCATTTTCTGAACCCGCTTGTGCACGTAGGGTCGTGGGGGGGCTGGTGCCTATGGGCAATCAGGCGGGGTACACCCTGGACAGAGAGCCAGTCCATCGCAGGGCAACACAGAGACACACAGGACAAACAACCACACACACACACACACACACACACACACACACACACACACACACACACACACACACACACCTAAGAACAATTTAGACAGACCAGTCAACCAAAAGCAGTCATGGTTTTGGACTGTGGGGGGAGGCCGGAGTACCCGGAGAGAACCCACGCATGCACAGGGAGAACATGCAAACTCCATGCAGAAAGATCTCAGGCCAGGAATCGAACCCAGGACCTTTTCACTGCAAGGCAACAGCTCTAACCACTGCGCCACTGTGCAGCCCGATAAAATTTCATATCATCATAAAATGCTAATTATACATCAAAGTACAGTTTAATTAGAAATGCTGTGTTATGGTTTTAGGTAATAGTACACCGTAGCCTAGAAATCTAGACGAACTGTAATCTGCAGGTCGGTCTAGCCACGCTCCAGTGTAGCCTCAGCAGGTCTACCACCGGCCTGATCAGTTCTGTGTCTTGCACTCAGTGTTTGTTAGGGGGACTAAATGCTAGAACTGCAATTGAGAAAAACTACAAAAATGGCGTCGGTTCAGGAATGGTGCTTGTTTGAAACGGCGTTAGCATTAGTCAGTTTAGACTCGGCCGGAGCTAAAAAAAAAAGCCTATTGGCTCCATGAAAGTCTCAGCCCGCTCTCTCATCATTTTATTATCCTTCTTTTAAAAAAAGGGTTCAGCCCCAAAAGAGTAAAAATCAAGAATAAAGAGTAAAAGAGAGTAAACAATGTAAAAACTTAATGCAGAAATATGTGTTCATCACATAATGTTATTGCAACATTTTGTAAGTGGTTACTTTTAATAAATTGTCAATAGAATATAAAGGTATTCAATAAAATGTAATATTCCATAAAAACATGGATTATTAATATTATTGAACCTTTAATATTTGATTGATGATGAAACTAGGTACTTTGGGTATGCCAGGGAACCAACGCTGATCAATTATATGACACAGAGGCAAAAATATTGTTTATTTCATACTATATTCCAGCAACTAATGATGATGCAGAGTAAATAACTAAATGATGATTTAAGGTAATATCCACTGAGACAATGAAGAAACTCAGATGAAACATGGTCTTTCACATCTGCTGAATTGTTTTGCAGATTAAAACAAATAACGGTTTGATCTTGAAAAAGGATGGTTCTTATTCCATTGGAAGACCTGGTCTGATCTCCCAACGAGAGATTATTTAGCATGAAGGCTGGACTGAAGTTTCATTTCTGTGTGAATCTTTTTATTTTTTCCCGTGTCCTGTCTGGCTGTGAAGCAAACAGAATTAATGTCTGAATGCTGGTGACAAGCTCAACAGATTTACTCTCAGGTGGAGCATCAAAGCTTCTGCTTTAATGCCACGCCTGATACTTAAAACTTTATTGTTATTGGTTTTTTAATGCTTCGTATTTTCGACCGGACACGGAGACAGAGGTGACAGAGAAAGGAAGAGACAAAAGGTGGGAGGGGGGGGGGGGGGGGGGGGGGGGGGGGGTTCCACGAAAATAAACAATCAAGATGAACAAGAGTCTGCTTCTAGACCCGCAGAAAAGGGACACACAACAATACAACAGGAGCAAATTATCACTGCGTAAACCTGATGATGAAATGTAAAATCAACATTGTTTTACTGAACAACGATCAGGTTTTAATATACCTGCTTCGCCACGTTCTGGTTTTTGACCCACGCCTCCTCTCCGACTCGGTCTCCAGCCTCGCCCTCCTCGGGGAACGTCACGTCTAATAAAGACTTTTAAAGGTGCTTTACTGTGTTTGGTATCATCATGGGTCCTTCTAGTTTAGCTCATGACACTTTTATTAAAATTTGTAACGATGAGGCCACGGCGGCGCCCCTTTCGTGTTCTAGATATAAAAAAATATGAACTATAATAATGTAATAAAACAGACTTGTTTCAGTGCTGTTTCAGTCTCAAGGTCAAAGGGCAGGTCATGTCATGTGACACAGGTCACAGACCGACCTGTTGTTGTAGCGTCTACGCTGGGTGCAGTGTCTAAAGAAAGGACAAGAGTGGGAGGAGAAGAAGTCTTCGTTGGTGGTCTGTATTAGGGTTGCTATTTCTAATAAAAAACAGACAAAAACTGGACCACAGCGGCTGGAATCACAAAGACACTGCTGAGATGTCTTCACAAACTTGGCTTTGATGAGCAGTTTTTGGGCAAGTGCTTAGTTGCTTATTCTTGTGATGGTGCTTCTGTGATGTTAGGTAGAAGAGCAGGAGTCGCCACATAGCCTTGTTCAAGATTTCCTGACCTGTTTGTGTGGCACAGCTCTAACCAGGTGGCCTGAAGGAAGTCAGCGGACTTAACTAGGGATGCTCAATGTTCTGTTTTTTACCGATATCTGATGTTCTGTTTTTTACCGATATCTGATATAAGCCAACTCTCATTTCTGATACTGTTATAAACCAATATCGATATTGGCGAGGTCCCCCTAAGAAAAACTAAACCAATTCATTTAAAAAGCTAAAATCACATATCTCCTATCATGGATGCTTTAACCGTAAGCATTAATTGTGCTAAATGACAACTACTTAATTTATATTAGTCAATAGAAAAAGTGCCATTTTTCATTTGTCTCCAACAGCAGCTGAAGCACAGTCTCCCTGAGATTATCCTGGCAGACACTCTGCAACACCTTTTGTCCAAAGATAACTATGAAGTACATGATGGGAAAACGTTTGATTAATAAGTTAATAAATAGCAGAGATGGGAATTGTGGCACCAACAACTGAACAAGGTTCATTCACTGTGCTGATTGAAATCCCCTGTTTTAGTTGCTGAGCTGAAGAAAAACACTGCATGGAGATGACTTGCTGTCTCAAATCCCATCTCTGATAAGCAGTACCAGTAAATTAGTGCTATAAAGGTAAGATGTTTTAAGTTTTGAAAACAGACGATCTCTGTTAAATCCTCTGTGCAGAAACGCAACAGAGTGAGCACTCTCACCTCAGACCTATCAGTGAAATATTGTTCTTTGTCTTGATTACGTTTAGGCAGAAACGAGAGAATAAATGAACACGCTGAATGTGCTTTATACGTTTGTGCCTTGGATAACCTTGTTCTCCTAACTATCAGCGTGTTTAGGAAATGTTTGGATGTGTGTTAAAGTCAGTCGGTAAATTGCTAGTAGTGTACACATGCTAAGCTAGGCTAATTACTAAGCATGCTAAGATGTGTGCAATAGTCATAGACATTAATATAGGTAATAGTAATGTATTTTTGAGTAAAAAATAATGAAATATATCTTCAAGACATTGTTAAAGATATAGAACACTCTTGAGCCACACATTTTAGATAGGACTGCCTTGTAATTCGTTCTCTGAGGGAAAAAAACTCCAGTGCACCATCTGACAATGACATCTCTCCTCTGATTGGCTAACAGCAACACGACTCTACCACTGACTCTGTTTGCTCTGCAAAGTTGATGTTTTATCTCCACAAATAACACAAACCTGGAGACGTTCTGCTGTGTGGTGGAGATGCTAATGCTAACAGTTAGCTTCTACTAGCAGAGATGTTCTCTGCTGTTTCCTGGACGCTAAACCAACAACAGCCTCCCCCGTCGTGAGTCCAGATGGGTGAGTCCATGAATGTTAGTGACAGTGTGACATAGATCTATAAGGCTTTTCTAATCCTAGAGTTTCACCATCTGTTTTCTCTCAGAAGCTACTGCAGGAGGTCGGTGTAAGAGGCTGTTTTCATGTTCAGCCTGTAGTGACTGATTATGATCAGAAATAATCATTAAAAAAGGGTTATCAGTGTTCCACACCTTTAATAGATGAAACATTTGAAACTACAGGATGTTTTTGAATTACAGCACTTTAAGTCTTATGTTTAAAATGATATAGTGTTGGTTAATACTACTTCAGATTGTGAAAAATATATTCTTTAGCAAAAAGTTCAGGTTTTCAAGTAATCGGGTATAAAATTGCTGTTACTTCTTCACAAATCTACTCAAGTAAATTATAAAGTATAATTACATTTTCATCTAAAATGTACTCAATGCAAAGGAGTTAATGTAAAGTAAAATCTTTCCTAACTAATGTAACCTGATAGGGAAAATGATTTTATTTATTTATTTGTTCTATTGCTAAGTCAGCGAGACAACAACAGAATACAGGTGTTAGCATACGCGAAGAGCTAACAAACAACAATAATGATCTATCAAACATTGGCAACAGGAGACAAATTATCAATGCACCTCATTCAGTTAACAGATAATATTACCGTATTTTCCGGACTATAAGTTGCACTTTTTTTCATAGTCTGGCTGATCCTGCGACTTATATACCAAATTATGTAGGCTATTCCACGCTGCTGCCGGCCGGCTCCGGCCCAGGAATGAGCTCTCCCCGCCCGCTGGGAGTATTTGAAACACCGCCGTTCTCTGCTGGAGACCGTTGCGCGCTGCTGCGCATACCGCTGATGCAACGGCTGGTTGTTTATTCTGTTATTGTTACTCGTACTTGTCTTGCAATGTGAAACGCTTGGTCTCAGATTTTTTAAGAAAAATAATTAAATTTCCCCCCAAAATGCGACTTATATATGACTTTTTTCTTCTTCATTATACATTTGATGTCTGGTGCGACTTATACTCCGGAGTGACTTATGGGCTCGACACACGGGAGGCGACATCGCCTCTCCTCCATTCATTTTCAATGAGACATGCGCGACAAAGTGACAATCGCGGGTCTCCCTCCTACCAAGCGAAATGCGAAAAACGTGCGTGTGAAATTTTGCACTCGTGCACAGGCGACCCAGCGACGCGATCCCAGAAAGTTGAAACATTTTCAACTTTTCATCGCTGTCGCTCGGACAATGAGCGGACAGGATGCTCCGTACTCCTCCAAGCAAACATGGAGGAGAAGTTGATTATTATTATGTTTTATATAGTAAATCAGAAGTAAGATTTCACATAACTCTAGCAACACCTTGTGAAACATCATATCTACCACTTTATTAACTCTGAACCGCTTAAATAACCTTAATTCCCTCCAACCTGACACAGCCAAACAAAACAACGGAAGTTTGGATTTCGCCATGGAACAGAACGCGTAGACGGCTTTGCCGCTGCCGCGGATCGCCTCCCGTGTGTCAGGTAATAAAAGCGACGGCGACAAATTTCGCTGATCGCGGTCGTTTGTCGCCTCCCGTGTGTCGAGCCCATTATACTCCGGAGCGACTTATAGTCCGGAAAATACGGTAATGATATACTTGAAAAGGTCCACAAGATCTAATCTACTTAACCTTATCTGCTGTCCTGTTTACTGTCAGCCACTTGGCTATAATTTGAAACCTTTGATGCAACGGCATAAAGAAAGCTGGGTAAACAGACCAGTTTATGTGTGTTTATCCAGTGACTGTGTATGGCTGGATGTTACCTTTTAGTTTTGACGACACTGATTCAAACTAAAAAAATAAGTTTGAAAAGTTTGAAAAAGTGGCTCCATGACACTTAGAATTAGGCTCATATGAATTAGATTTAGAAAAAGCTGTGTTCTTTTGCTATGGTGGTGTGTGATGAAATGTGTTCTCCACCTTTGACCCATCCCCCGGGGCAGCAGTGAGCTGCAGACACGGCTGCGCTCGGGAACCATCTGGCGGTTTAACTCCACAGTCCTTAATGGTGAGTATCAAGTGGAGAGGCACTGGGTCCCATTTTTAAAGTCTTGTTATGACTCGACGGTGGATTTGAACCCACGATCTGCTTGCCTCAGGGTGGAAACCCATACCCCTTGGCCACTGAGCTGCTGTTGTCTCTACATGCACCGACGCCGCATTAACACCGCCAGTTCATCCCCTTTACTGGGGAGAGAACTGGCATTTCCCAAGACAATTAAGGAATCACAGGTCAGTACCTTTTCCAATCCAGATGTCCTACGCCATTCCGTGTCTCTTTGTGCTTAACTCAAAGAGAATATAGAAATCTAGTTTGGTGGAGAAATGCCCGGCGGAGCTACGGGCGCTAACTGCTGGTCTCTGATGAAAACAATGGCCGCGGGATCAGTGGTGTTTGTGCCGGGCACAAAGCCCGATAAAACAAAAATAAAAACTGAGTTGCCCAAAAAGTAGTGCTCTCCATTTTATCAACAAGTAAATAAGTAAACAAATACACAACATGACAAAAAAGGATTAAAAGTAAGAATTGAAGAATGACTGGAGAGCTGCTGGAACAGGCTGCCTGCCAGTAGTGTTTAGTCTCAGCCTAGATACCTATTATATACTGGAGACACACACCTACACACAAACACGCCTCGTTTAATCAGCAACGCTAAAGAATGTTGAAAAGACAGAACATTGAAACTGAGGTCTTAAGTCCAGTTCACACGGCAGGATTAGTGTGCTGATTTTTGACCCGATCCTCTACCCCTGACTGTGCTATGAATGCGCCCGGTTCCTGTAGAAGCTCTTTTGTGCATTTCGGCCATGTTTGGTGTGTTAAGATGCTATGGTCTGGTCGGAAGCACGTTGGGACCGATCAGATAATAAATCAGGCACACGTTGGATTGTCTTGGTCCGATTTTCGAGGAGTCTAGCTCATCAGGCAGTGAGGTGACAAAAGCACTCTGCACACTCCTCCACCATGCTTGTTTTCTCCAAAGCCACGTTTGATCTCGCAGCGTTTCCAGTCTGACCAGGGAAGAGTCCTGTGTAATGTCATTGTGTAGCTTTTACCATGTAGCGCGACACCACACCGTAGGACCAAAACCTTTATATCACCACATGTGGGGTTTCTTGTTTTGAAAATCGTCCAACGCTCTAGAAATCCTGCCATTTGAACCGGGCCTTAGAGACTTAGACCTCAGAGGCTCAGCAGTAAAAAAACATCAGGTATCAGTTGTGCTCTGGACTGGACTATTGGTGCTTTATAAACACAGAAGCCCTGGAAATGAAGCTGCAACTACAAATACATCCAGAACCATGAACCTGTCTCAGCTGCAGCGCAGAACAAAGCAAACCAATAAGAAGACTAAAATGTGTCTGAAAAGTCAAAATGAGGAAGAATTCATGAGCACTACCTTCAAAGCGTTAGCTTAGAACCCTAGGTACATTTGGTCAGCACTAAAGCATTTATGAAGGGAGGCTGTGGCACAACAAACTGCTATGCTCATATACTGTAAATGACCTACAGGAAGACTATCAGGCTGCTGAAGGAGTCTGGACCGATAAGGACAGTAAGGACTTAAACCAGCTGAGACCTCATCTGCGTGCTGGTTTGCTCAGCCAGTTACTCACCTGTGTCCCGTGGCAGGGAGGAAGTAGATGCAGCAGTGCACTCTGCTGTCAGGTATTCTCCTCTTCCGATTGATGTTCAGCTCCTCTCTCAGGTATCGTTCATACTGCTCGTTGACATACTTCACAATGGGCTCCCAGCTGGAGAGAAAGAGCAGCAGGGAAAGGTTACCGGGATGCATCTGAATCATTAACACTATTTAATGTGGATGAATGGAATCAGAAAGCCTAGATAGTTATTAATTATCTTTTAATGGATTTATAAATGAGTTTACTGTTTGATTGGTAATGGTAAATGGTCTGCATTTTTATAGCGTCTTCCAGACTTCTACACCCCCCAAGGTGCTTCAAAACACAATCTGTTATTCACCCATGCATGCACACACATTCACATTCATGGTGGTGAGCTACACTGTAGCCACAGCTGCCCTAGGGTGCACTGACAAAGGTGAGGCTTATGAACACTGAGGCCACCAGTCCATCCGACCACCACCAGCAGACAAGGTGGGTTAAGTGTCTTGCCCAAGGACACAAGGACAGGCATACATCTGGACACTGTTGTCATTTTATTGATTCCAAAACCATCCATCCATTGTCTGAACCCGCTTATCCACGTAGGGTCGCGGGGGGGGGGGCTGGTGCCTATCTCCAGTGGTCAATGGGCAATCAGGCGGGGTACACCCTGGACAGAGAGCCAGTCCATCGCAGGGCAACACAGAGACACACAGGACAAACAACCATGCACACACACACACACACACACACACACACACACACACACACACACACCTAAGGACAATTTAGACAGACCAATCAACTAACAGTCGTGTTTTTGGACTGTGGGTGGAAGCCGGAGTACCCGGAGAGAACCCACGCATGCACAGGGAGAACATGCAAACTCCATGCAGAAAGATCCCAGGCTGGGAAGCGAACCCAGGACCTTCTTGCTGCAAGGCAACAGCTCTAACCACTGCACCACTGCGCAGTCCTAAACCTTTAGAACTAATTGTTGGAACTCAAAATTGGTTTGGTCAGCTCAGTGACCGTTAACCTCCACACACAGGTGAATCCAGTTGAGTTAATTGAAGGGGTCTAATTGTAAGTTTCCCTCCTCTATAAATATCCTCTGAAGAGCAGCAACATGGGGTCTCAGAGCAACTCTCACATGGACTGAAAACAAAGATTGTTCACCATCATGGTTTCGGGGAAGGATACAGAAAGCTGTCTCAGCTGTCTGTTTCCACAGTTAGGAACATATTGAGGAAATGGAAGACCACAGGCCAAGTTCAAGTTGAGAAAAATCTCAGATAAACAGAAGAGAAGAATGGTGAGGACAGTCAGAGTCAACCACAGACCAGCACCAAAGACCTACAACATCCTCTTGCAGCAGATGGAGTCACTGTGCATCGTTCAACTATTCGGTGCACTTTACACAAGGAGATGCTGCATGTGAGAGTGATGCGGAGGAAGCCTTTTCTCCACCCACAGCACAAACAGAGCTGCTTGAGGTTGTCATGGTTCTGCCTTCTCTCTGCTGCTGTTGCACTTCTCCTTCATTGTTTGCAGATGAGCATGTTGGGGAGCCGCAGCTGCAGCTAATTACCATCAGCCTGGCCAGAGGATTTAAGGAGCGGTGCTGCCACACCTCATCGCTGGTTGATACTCTACTGTTGGGTATACCTAGCCACGTCCTGACCTGTGCCGTAGCTCTGAAATAAGTTTTACCTGTACTGATCCTGCTCTGCTATCTCGTCTGTACCAGCTCTGGATTTTCTCCACCTGCCTGAGGTGTGCCTTATCCCAGCGTCGTTCAGCTTCCCTGGCCTCCCGCTCTCCACCGCTCACCTGCCTTCCTGGATCCAACATATCCTCCAGCAACCATCTCCACCCTGCATCAACCTGACTTGCCTCTCCCTCCTGCCCTCGCCCTGCTCCACTCAGTAAGCCCGTTCCTCTCATTGTTATACATTTCCTGGTTCTCAGTTTCTAGTCACTCACACCGCTTGTTCTTCTTTTAGAGTCGGAGTCGCCTCGTTTCCTGTCCCGTTTGGATCAACGCCCTTAGTTATCTCTTTTGTTTCTTTTTCTATAATAAAAGTATTTTATTATTGTCTCTTACCTCCTCCGTGTGGGATTCTTCATGTGGGTTAAAAAATTACCACCCAACATGACAGAGGTCTGCTAAAGCACACCTGGACAAGCCAGCTTCATTCTGGAATACGGTGCTGCAGACTGATGAAACCGAGTTATTTGGGCATAACAAAGTCGTTATGCATGGAGGAACAAGAGCACAGCATTCCAGTTAAAACACCTGTTACCTACAGTAAAACATGGTGGTGGTGCCATCATGCTGTGGGCTGTGTGGCCAGTGCAGGGACTGGGAATCTTGTTAAAGTTGAGAAACGCATGGAGTCCACTCAATATCAGCAGATTCTGGAGACGAGTCCAGGAATCAGTGACAAAGCTGAAGCTGCACCGGGGCTGGATCTTTCCACAAGACGACCCTAAACACCGCTCAGCATCTACTAAGGTGTTCATGCAGAGGAACAAGTAGAATGTTCTGGAATGTTCTTCTCAGTCCCCACACCTGAATATTATTGAACATCTGTGGTGTGAGTTAGAGAGAGCTGTCCATGCTCAGAAGCATCAGACCTGAATGAACTAGAGATGTTTTGTAAAGAAGAATGGTCCAAAACACCTTCAGCCAGAATCCAGACTCTCACTGCAAGCTATAGGAAGAGTTTAGAGTCTGTTATTTCTGCTAAAGGAGGAGCTTCTAAATACTGACCATTTCTCTTTGTGGTGCCCAAATGTATGCACCTGCCTAACTTTGTTTAAACTATTATTGCACACTTTCTGTAAATCCTGTAAACTTTGTTTTACTCCTCAAATATCACCGTGTGTGTCCTATATGATATATTTCCCTGAAATATTTTATAACAACCAATTATTTATAAAGAAAATCATGAAGATTAACAAGGCTGCCCAAACTTTTGCATCCCACTCTAAATAAACTTCCAAATCTGGAGTTTTCTGCTGTAATTGGAACAGCCAATGACTGCACGCATCCTCTCAGCCTTCCTAGACATGTTCACAAAAGAAACATCCTCCACTTGCTGCCCAGAGCTCTTACTACAGTAATGGTGGCAGCCCTTACATGTACACTTGCAGTGCAAAATAATTTAGCTTTGGCAAATAATGGTTTACAGCAGCGTTTCCCAAACTTATTTAGCCGCGGGTCCGAAATTAACACTCGCCACTCGCCAAATGCGAGCAAATTGCTCCATTTGGCAAGTAAATTTTTTAGGTCTATCTGCCACATAGCGAGTAAATGTTTGCACCAAATTAGTTATGTTTATCAGTCATCTTCCATGGATGTCTGATACTCCTCCCGCCTGCACACAACGTACACAAACGTACACGAAACGTGAGCGCCGCATCCAACGTCATTTCCACCTATCCCATTCAATCAGTTCATCAAGTTAGCAGTTAGCTTCGTGTTAAAACTAGCGGTGAAATGTGGCGGTTTTTAACTGGAGTCAGCCAGCCTTCCAAAAGAAAACTCGTCAAACTGGAAGAAAAACCACCACGACCAGTGGCAACCAGAAGGTTTTGTGAAAAGTGGCGAACTGGAGACGGCGGAGTCGTGAGACAATGACCGTGTTCGAGTTGAGCTGCGCCTCGCCTGGAAAACAGACGGAAGCAGCTGGGGGAGAGGCTGAAAGCCTGCGTTTAAGTCGGACAGATTTCCCTACATGTGTAGCTCGGGGGTGACGATGGCTGAAGATATCGCATTAGAGTCGGTTAGAGTTCATACTTGTTTAATTATTTATTTTATTTCTGGTGCCTGTTAGCAGCTGAAACACATCCTCACGTGCTTGTGGATAACATATATTGTATATGGAGACCTGACTGTAATAATAAGTAAAGGTTATCAGCTGTAGGTTCAGTGTGTTCATAGGAAACGTGACAAAAGAAAACAAAACACATTTCTCTTTATGGCCTATATAGTTGTCATCATCAACGTTACATGATTTACAGAATACATGTGACCAACTAACATTTCATGTTCTACCACCGGATGTTTGGATCAAACTATGAACCAATCAGATCTTAGATCAGGTGAGAGCCAGGCGTTTCCCATCATCCCCTAGGTTTTGCAGCCGGTGGAGAGCAACTGCAGCGCCTTGCTCCAAAATTTGCAGCCGCCTTGATCTCACGAGGTTATCGTTGCCGACGTATGCATGACGTCAGAGCAAGTCGGCGTCAAGTCGGACACAAATCTAACCGGCATGCACTGCTAGCCGATCACCGCTGGTCTAATCTGCGCAGAACTGGCTCATCTCGAATACAGCCAATGGCTGCATTATGATGGCCACATAGCGCTGCTGCCTTTCACAGACACTTTTTCTGCACGTGCTGCAAACAGGATAGCCGTCTTCTATCAACTGTCCCTCGGCATTCTTCAAATATCCAAAAAATGCCCGTACTTCCGACTTTGTCTTCTTTGAGGGATAATAAATGTCCCGAGTGCCGTCTCCTCTGGCCATTATTTCAGCTTTAGCTTAAAGAAAGTTTTGGTCGTAAACAACAAAGCGCGCATGTGCCGCCGGCAACTTCCAGCAGATGATACGGTGGCTGGTAAGGGTCACCGCGCCTACACCACAGTCAAGGAAATCCACAGAGATAATATATTTATTTTTTAAAAACAAGACTGTTATTATTATTGTCAACTTTTTTACCGGGGTTTACTGCTACACCGGTTACCGTGACAACCCTAGCCCTGACACACTTTCAGATATTCTCATGGTGCAGCTGTGTTCTCCAGAGATCAAGGACTATGATCCAAATGAGGCTGTAATGCTTTGGCACAAAGACGGTGTCAGAAGCAGGAGGCCAGACTTCATGGACAGAGAAAACAAGGAGTCTGACTAGATTTCAATGAAAGAGTTCATAAAAACATCTCTAAAAATAAATAAATAAATAGTAAAAATGACTAAAGAGTTGTTTTTCTTATTAACTGATGTTTTAATTATTTTGTCACTCTGTTTGGAATCAACATAATATAGAAAAACATGCTTTAGGTAGATCTAAATCAATTAGAATTTTGGCCGGTAAAAAATATGCTTGGCCGGTAGATT